ATAATTAAATATTTTTAAATATCAAAATTAACTATTTGAAAAACAAAGGACATATAACCTTACTAGAATTGTGGGTGGCAATAACCACGGCCATTAAAACACCATGTATTTTATTTACATTGTGTGAAGAAACTTGATATCCTTCATTCACTGTCAGATTTTGCAAGATATGGCTCGAAAAATTGTAAAAATATACCCTATGTACATACAAATATCACAAGTTATATAATAAGGGATAATCCTCCCCTATATATGTACACAAGCACACTGTCAAGGTTCTGCAGTTAATAAACTTGCCTAAGCTCTTGTTGGTCATTTCCCTTATTCTGTTCTTGAGAAATAATATGAAGTGATATGCAATTAATTACATAGCAGAGGAGTAGATGACTTTGTGCATTGCATTGATATTTTAGTTTTATATGTACAGAAACTACAACCATGAAGAAGAAGATGTTGCCGCCACTAGACTCCTGCTTTTGAACACAAATATTAGCATTGCCTCATTGAACCAGTGCTTCTTCTCCTTTTCCTATTTGATCCCAAATGTATTTTGGATGATATATTTCAATCCCTTACTTTCATGGAGCCACGTCTTGAGGTTTGTCTCCCAACAGGAGCTGCCAACCCAAGCTCTTTACGTTGTTCTTCATCTGGTTGCAAGGTCTCTGGAATTGCACCGAATGCTCTTCTGGTAGTTTCGGATCCAGAAGCTACATAATGCAAGTATGCTGAAGCATCCTCCATCTTCTTTCGCAGGTTTATTGATGTCGATGCAAAGTTCTTTGATGCTATTCTCTCCATTTTTTTCGCCAAAGCCTGGTCCAGCTCAGCAACCCTAAGAAACCGCTCTGTGGCAGCCTCCCAAGATAGCTCATGTCTATGTGCCTCAGTCAGTGGTGCAGGCTCCTCATCAAGAGCCTTACGTGTGGCTTCAACAAAACCTTTGCCATCATTGTAAGTTAGGCAATTTGGAAACTGCTTGAAGAAGTCATTTGAGGGGTGATCGGCACATACAACAATTTTGCCCATAGCCAATGCTTCGGCTGTGGTTGTGCAAACAACATCTGTGGTGCTTGGATTCAAGAACACTTTGAAACTGGAAAGAGAACAAGAAAAATTAATTCAACTCCTATTAATCAGCTTCAGAAAGACATGAAATATAAAATACAAAGTATCCTATTTGTTCATTGGATTATCATCTAGTATACCAATTAAACATGATAGCATGCGTAAAAGGATCCTTGAAGTTACTCTTTAAATAAGAAAATAGCAACCATTTTAGGCAGATGACATGGAGGTCCATTGCAACTTTGCAAGAATATTCTGATCATCTGATGATATGAACTACTAAGCACACAATGTTAAGAGTTTAAATAAAGAAAAAATTCACAAGGCAATTAGAAGGTCCTCCCATCCTTTGACTTTCAACATACATAGACCCCCAAACCTGACAAACCTCCAATTTTTTCCACCTTCCGACAAACACAAGTTTATGTTAAACTAAACCAATCCAAGCACACATGAATTAAAAGTTAATATTCTTTAAACTGTAGCACAATTTTCCATAACAGGTTAAAAGATCAACAAAACTTTCCAAAATCAAGCGTTACAGTTGCAAGAAACTGGCAAGCATCCTCAATATTCATGGACAGAAAATTTGGTATGATTTGACTTAATAGCATAAAAGAATATGGATATGGGTCTTACTCATGGAATAAAGGGTCAGCATGATCACGACCTGGATGAACTCTAACTGTAATTTCCAACTTTTTTGCAGCTTCCTTAACCTCATCCGAATCCTGTCCACTTCCAAATAAGTCAACTTCAAGACCAGCTAATTCCTTTTGGTGATCACGCAAAAGTTTTAGCAACTCCTTGTAGCCTTTGCTCCACACCATCTTTCCAATGTAGTAAGCACCTTTTGTGAAGGGCCGATTACCACATTGTAGCTGCTCTTTCATTTTCTTCCCAGTATCAAGGAATTTAGGATTAACACCATGAACATTGCAGATTATGGAACCTGGATAATCCTGGGTGGCAGCAGATAATCTAATTACCTGAAATTCACACCATGTTCATAATCTGCTGAGCACCAAACTTTTAAATCAACAAATTAATAGCTCATAGATGATGCAAAGATGTAAAAAATATCCAACAGTATTGCATATCATAGTTCCTTGTGAGAATCAAAGCAGACTGCAAAGTTTACTTGTTCATTCTAAGAAATGGAAATTAAAGCTAACATTTATTATAGGATTAATACCTTGTGACAGTAGATGCTAACAACCCAATTATTCATGTATTTGAGAAGAAATGCTTGCAATTGTCCATTTTTCTCCCTCTTAACATATTCCAAGTAATTGGTGTGTATAACTCCTACAACAAGACGAAACTTGGATTTCCATCTCTTTCCATGGTGAAACCAAGTAAGATGCTCAGGCTCCTCAAGGACAGCCACATCAGCATCTTCATCAGGGATGATCTCAGAGATGTCTCCAGCAGGAAGAATACTCCCCTTATCTACATCAAACTGCAGCACAAGTAATGTCATGAACGAAAACTAGAATAAAAAGAAAATGCAGCAGAACAGATTGCTCTACCCAATTTACCAGTTTGAGAGCCTAAGCTGAGTTCAGTTCATTGCATTGAATTAAACCTGATTACCAGTCAGGTTAAATCATGAAATTTCATCAATGAATACTGCCACTACCATACGAAGATATCTTGTTTTCATTAGAAGTGTGACTACCTTTCCAGGATAAAAACGTATATCAAAGCCAGACGTAAATGCAGTCCTCTCTTCAAGCCATTGACGAATATATTTCTCCTGCTCCGAAGGTGAACTGAATGTAGTGTTATTAGGATATACTAATTTTTGATCTTTCAGGGATAGCCAAGGAATCACCAACGTGACCTTTCTTCCCCCATCTTTTGCAAGATAAGCAGCACGAAACAAAGGATTGACAGCAGTTCCAGTCATCCAAGGAAGACTTGCTGTGGTAAAAATGGCAATATGCTGTTTTCTTTCCATTTGGTATAAACTGACAATCTAAGCATATGTTTCCGATGTAGCTGATATTCTACCTACTACAAATCAAAGAGAAAGACCTGTCAGAAAAAAATCAGAAAGCTATCTCTTTCACTACATCAAGATTTTTTTTTTTTTAAATAACAAACTATATAGACCTACATGAATTGGAATGAAATTCATTTTGCAAACAAATAATGAAAATACCCTATCGAAGAAGGGGAGTAAAAGTAGAACAAAGACATAAAGAGAAACAAGAAAGCTAGCCGGGATTCCCCCCAAAAGGCACCCAAGCAAAATCTAGAATCGGTATAACTTGCCTGCGCAAATAACCATATGGGTAAAGAAATTCAATCAACACTCCATACCATTATTTAACATAAAACCAAGTTCTGGAAAATAGCAGTTTACATATTCGATTGGAGAAATTCCTAGAAGTTAAGATTTTTCCAATGGAAACAAGGTGGCATCACCGTGTTTAACAAAAAAAAAAAAAAAATTTCCTTGCTTATACATCTAGAACAAGTCATCACAGGAATCAATATAAAACTAATAATGACAAATTCATGATTCCTAGCACCCTTAATCAGCATTCAGAGCAAAAAAAAAAAAATTCCATTACGCGTAAGGGAAACGCCAGATCAAGAAAATAAAAAAAGGGGTAGACGGGTTCTAAAATACGAACATGGGTTTTATGTTCTTCAACCAAAACTCGGTATAATACCTCAGAAACGTAAATAAATTGGTTTATAAAACAATACAAGAAACTTGAAAATGAGTGACTTAATAATTAAGAAAAAGTGGAAAGGAACGATCTTTACCTGTGATTTTGGCGCAGTCGTATGGGACACTTCAACGAGATGAGAAGACAATGCAGGAAAGGGGGCGGAGAATGGTGGGATGGATTCTTACGGGAGGGAAAGAGATGGTGAGGAAATATGAGTTTTGTAAGGTACCCGAAGTCTTTTTTACCGGGCATTTTGACCCGGCGACAATCTTGGGTGGTGTTGAACGTCGTCGTTTGAATCCGCCCTCTTCCCGTTGAGACAAGACAATTGCCGGGGGATGGTGCTGATTCATCACAATTTGCCTCTTTTTTTTTTTTTTTTGAACTGATTACATTTGATGGAGGGATTCCAACCTCAGTATAAGGGTTATATTGGGATTTTGTTATTTGTTATTCATGTCTCTTTTTGGGACGTCCTGCGCAGGTTATCTGATTTACTATTTCTTAAACTTTCTATTCAAGTACTTAGCATTCTTCACTCATAATATTTTTGACCTAATAATTATAAGTTAAGTTGTAGGTGTATTCCCAATTCAAAGGTTACTTTTAAATTCTTCTATTTTTAAAATTGTAATCTATTCAAAAAAAGAAAAGCACTTAGCATTCTTCTTCGGTTTACAAGCTTTGTTTAGGTTTAATGTTCAAGTTTTGAATCTTTTGATATTAGGACTTAAGAAAAGTTTTAGGATGCTTTTAGAGACTTGAATTTGTATATGACGAATTTATTTTAAAT